GGGGTGGGGGGGGTGGGGAAAGAAAGACAAACATAGGCCACAGTCCTGTACAGGGATACATTCAGGCAGAACCCAGCACGATACTGAAATTCTCTCTGCAGTCCATATTTTAGTCCACAGGTGCACTATAGCCTTGTGATAATAAAAAGTATTTCAGATCTGGTATGAACTGCAAGAAAAGCACTTGTCTTACCAGTTTCGTTCCAGGAGTTATATGCCAGGCAGCTTCCAATGAGCAATGGTTAAGAACAGTACTTGCCATCTGATCACGACGTTAAAAATACAGCACTAAATTCCTCCTTCATTTATACAGTTTTAAATATTCATTAAAAACTAAATTCAGAATCAGTGTCCCTCTATCCTCTTCACCGTTAATAGTTTTTCTTATCTACTAAAACCATTTGTCTTTCTTAAGATATCTAAAAAGTAAAGCATGCAAGATTACCAGGCTGCAGCATTAATTAAAACGAGTCATCATCTCCTCCCTCCACCCAGCTTCTAAATCTATCACAAGGGCCCTATTAGCTGTATCAAAGTGATGTGGTGTAAATAAAACTGACTTGACTTAAAAGAGGAGGAAGCACGAAGGGCGAGTTACTTCAAAAATCACAGTGCAGTGTTGTTCTGTGTGTCACTGCGGACCAGAGCCGGGAAAACAGTTCGCCAGCTCTTCAGAAGCACCACTGCCAGCTTCCCCTGGCGCTGCGGCGGAGAGCTGCACTGTGATTTGCCTTGCAAGGAACTGTAGGTTGTTATCAACTGGATTCACTAATGGCCTCATTTTAAACACACTGACTTCAGCGGAGGTTATAGCACTCAGAACTCCTGACATTTATGTTTTTCTTTGTTTTTAAGTAACACAAATCTTATTTTCAACAGGCTACTCCACGCTCCTTCATTCACCTCATGCAGTCATTTCTTTAAACGGTTTTGTAGGAATCAGAGGCGTTAATACCTGCACTGGGAGAACTGCTCATCACAGCGGTCACCATTCCACATGGATGTGGAATCAGAATTTGGCTCTGGAAGAAAACTTCAATAGGTTTTAATTTCTAAGAATAGGTCTTTGAAATAACATCCATTTGTTTAAATATTAAGCATAAAGGAAAAAGCTCCTGGAGGACTAACCTCAAACTAAAAGTTTAAGAGCAACTGCAAACAATAGAAGGATTAATTCTGATTTTACTGGCTCAAAAGAAATCCTACTACATGGCATTTCATGAACATTTCACTTCAGCCTCACAAGCTCCAGGATTTTCAATGAATTATTTAATTTCATTAGCACGGTTGTTGCTACCACGCTTTCCCAAAGATTCCACTGAATAACGCAGCATAACACAGTATTAACACAACTGGAAGTGACACATTATAAACAATTCCTGTGTGATACTACAGCAATTCCCAAAGCAACCAGATAGCAAATCTGTTCTACAAACCACAAAACCGGAATAAGATGAAAACCCCCCCTTGAAGTTTGAGCATCTTTTTGGAAAGATAGGATGCTGAACTTCTGTACTCCCCTGAGTTCAGCGGTCCCCGTAAGTAACAAAGAGGAAGACAAGACTCGTTTCTCTTTTTGGATCTCTAGACAGCAACATGTAACACCACCCTGAACTGTAGGTAACAGCCCTCCAAATCAATATTCAAGCAGAAAGGCACAATTCCTTTTGTAACTCATGTTCTCAAAAGCTACAAGATTCCTACACAAAGATAAACACACCCTTAGCTGGAAGGGAAAAATGTCACGCCATTTAGAATGTTTTTTCCTTTTTTTTTGTAAAGTCCAAATAGATTATCGTAATGCAAAAGTTACATGAATATATACAACGTGAAAGAGTATCTTTTTTTAATATATATATATATGTGTGTGTGTACACACATGACAGCGACCAACACAGAAGGCAGAAGCAGCAGGCTACATCCACTCTTTTCCAACTTCTCAGCAATGCAAGACTTTTTCAGATGCCAAGGGTGAATGGTACTTGGCTTGCACACACGCTGGTGCCCTCAAACGCACATGGTGCAGCACCGTCCCCCGCGGCAGGCCAGTGGGAGGAACGCGTGCCAGGCACCTTAACGCCGGACACAACGACTTCATTTCACTAACATGGCCTTAGGCAACTTCAAAACTAAAAAGGTGCCTAGTTCTAATGAAACTACTGCAAACTCTTCAATAGCATGTTTTAAAGCCCAATACGATGTTCTAAAAATGGCATCAGAAACACATTAAGGCAAATTCTGTCACAGCATTACGTAGCCCTCTCACAGAGGCAGAGCAGAACCATTACGAAAGGCAGGAGGGATAGCAGGGCCCCGCACTCACAAGACACACCCCTGCCCCCACCCCTACTATTAGCTGAGTTTAACCTATCTGTGAAATAAAGAATAAGGCCCTGCTACGTGACAACAGTCTGCCTATCAAGTCGGACAGAGTCATTAATTAGCCAAGCCCTGTTTTGTGAAGGACAGCATAATCGTATCGCTTGAGCTCCCAGCAAGGATGAAATCTGACCTGATCTCGTACATTCCTTTACAAGGATCCAGGAGCATCTTCACCAATGCACTTCAAGACAGGCTGCCCGAGCTTGCAATGAAAGGCTTCCCAAATCAGCCTAGACCACCAGCATCTGTATACATTATACACGCACATATATACATTCATATACAGTAAATAGTCCAAGAAATACATTGCATCAGTCCTTTGACACAGCATCGATGTTTCTCTTTCTAGTCTGAACTGGAACTGGCTGGTGGGAATATAGTGGAGAGCTGATGTGGCTCCAGGTTTAGCTCTCACAGCTCTGTCTTTGATGAGCCCAAAATGCTGAACCCAAATGTTACCTTAGTCTGGATTTAGACAGCCATCATTCAGGCACGAGTCCCCCTGAAACCTACCAGCCACAGCAGATTAACCCAAGCAGACTTGAAAAAGTAAATGCCTTCCTGGCATACTGGAGCAGTTACACTTCTCTTTCAGCAGTGTGGTTGACCAGAAAATCACTTTGATCTGCTGTCCTCTCGAGAAGAGTTCTGTGGCCATCCATGCTGTCGTGGATGTCTCTTGTCCAATTACCAGCTGTGCCCAGAGGGCTTCCCGCCATGGGGGTGTCTGTGCTCACCAAGCTTCCTGTCCGAGATCGGTAAGGAGGAAGATCTGGCTGATTGAGGGATTCAGATTCAGAACAATAAGGCGGTGGAGGAAGGTCAAACCAAGGTGGTCTGCTGTAGGATACGCAACATAGCAAGGGGTTACTGGAAGCAGGGGTACAGAAGAAAGTACATAGTTTCCCAATTATGAAAAAAACCCAGGAAAGGTGGGGAGGGAGTCTTGATCAGGGGGTGTGGTGACAGGATGAGGGGTAACGGTTTCAAACTGGAAGAGGGGAGATTTAGGTTAGATATTAGGAAGAAATTCTTCACTGTGAGGGGGGCAAGGCACTGGCACAGGTTGCCTAGAGAAGCTGTGGCTGCCCACTCCCTGGCAATGTTCAAGAGGTTGGACGGGGCTTTGAGCAACCTAGTGGAAGGTGTCCCTGCCCATGGCAGGGGGTTGGAACCAGCTGATCTTTAAGGTCCCTTCCAACCCAAATGATGCCTTGATTCTGTAGCTAATTACATCCAGCTTGACACCCTACACTCCCATTTTCATGGCTATGCACTTCAACAAATCTCAGCTTACCCTCAAAGACAGCTGCGAGAGGTAAGAATTTTTCCTGTGTAACATTCACACAACCTGAAAAAGTGCTTTGAAAGAAAGGTAAGTAGTGGATTTACACCTATAATGAAGAAAGCTCTGAGGAAACCTCCATTAAGTGACAGAGATTAACGGCTTATGGTCTACAAAGAAATAACAAACTGAATGCTCCACAGGAGAAATCACTTTTTCTGTCACGGCATCACATGCAGAGCAACTGCTAAGTAGGCATACTCAAGAGGAGTACTGGATTCAGGAAAACTGGCTTTTTGTTCCAATAGTTAACAAGTAAAGGGACCAAAGGGTTTAGCAGACTGATAACAGGTCCTGGGAGCAATTAGCTCTGAAATCACTGATGGTTTATATCAGCTCAGGTGAGAAGTGATTACAATCCAGACAGCTGCTCATTTAGTTGTCCTTACTAATGAAAAGGTATCATTATTATGAATGTTAACATTAAGATAAGGGAGCTGCTGCCAAATGCAACAAGAGAATAGGAACGTAAATGATTACACTATCATTCTTAGATCTCAGGGTTTGTAACAAAAAAAAACTCGAGAGGGTGTCAATAAACGATCTGGATCACTGAAGTTCATGCCATGCCCTTTTTATGTACAGAGTATATCAGTCTAAGAGTTTAGTTTGGAAAGACTTGACAGACAGAGGTTAAAACAAAGGTTAATTATCTTCAAACAAAGTCAGTGTCATAACTACAAAACCCTCATAACCCAAAACACACCCACCCACAAATCATCAAAGCACTTCCAGCTATTTAAAAGGAGCACAGCACTTCCCATTTCCGAGTCCTGCTCTTTTCTTCTAAAATAAAGGGAAAGTAGTGCAGCGCAGAGGAACTACACAATTTCTTTATGCAAGAACTGAAGACCTCCCACCTTTATATGCTTACCACATATGACCAGGGCATTTTTTTTTATAATAGAATAACCTACGACCTAGCTGGTTTTTGGCAAAACTCCAAATTCAGTTATGTTTTGATATCACTACCAGACAAGTGATATAATTTCTTTGCATTCTCCTGCCATTCTCAAAATCTCTACTGTCAACAACACATGCTAAGAGAGCATGACTTAAGTTTGCCTTAAATCCCTTTAATACCAGAAACAGCAAGGCGACTTGAAGACCGTGAGTTCTCCATACGCAGGAGGAGCTCAAATGTGTCCCAAATGTGGCCCTATGCATGAGACAGAACTGCAACGCCGTACTTCTGTCGAAAGCAGTAGTAAGGATAAACAGGGATCAGAAGCACAGATTAACAGAGCTGCAACCAGCAGCAGGAAGGTTCGGTGAGCACAGAATTAGCTCCTGTACGTACCTTTGGTCAAGCACAGCCTCTGAATAGGATGGGGGAGAGTCCAGATCCACTGGCCTGTGGTAGGCCTGGTTGGGCATGTACTGGATCCCACTGTTGACGTTGTAGGTGACGCTGCAGTGGTGCGAGTGATCGAGGACCACCAGCCTGGACAGCAGGACAGGGTGCTGCAGTCGATGCACCGGCAGGGTCATGAGGTTGTTGCGTTTGCGTTGGTGATGCAGGACTAAGGCAAGAAAGGCCACCACGAGTACAAAAATGACAGAGCTGCCAATGATAGCATAGGTAATACTGGGGTAGTACAGCAGCTGGTTTTCCGAGGTCACATAATCTTGGCCGCTGCCCGCCTCTGCAAGACAAAAGGAAAACCAATCCTGAGATTTGCTTCAATATAAAACTGCCCTTAACCTGTGCTGTGTTTCCCACTAATGCACTGTGCGACAAAAATTAGCTTACTGAAAGCACATGCATGCAAATCAGAGACTGGCTGACTATCATGCAGTCCGTCCTCACCCGCAGATAAACTACTAGGGGGAGGCAAACTGAGAAAGAGGAAAACACACACTGTAGTAGGAAGCACGTGTGTTATCCCCCATCCCTACCTATCACTCATAAGTTTGTTTCCAGAGGTGAGACACCCTGTTCTGAGGCATAAGCACAGTACCTGGCCAGGTACATCAGAATTACGGATGTAAAAGGCCTGATCTTTACTTTTCATGACAACTTGCAGGGCAGTCAAAGTTCACAAGTTTATGTAAAGCCTGTGCTCCATGGATCTAATAGTCCAAAACAAGTATGGGAGAAAGTACAGACAGCTGCTCAGGAAAGGGTGGCTATTTGGATGTTTGTGATCAGAGGACCTCCTGCTGGAGGAGGGGGGTTTTTTTGGGGGGAAATCAAAAGAAGAAAGGGCATTGGAACAGCAAAAAAAGCGATGTAAGCCTGGTAGACGCGATACCAGCAAGAGATGTGGAAGTCTCTTTCACAATGAAAGGGTGCAGTGAACGAAGTGAACGATGAAAACAAACCCCCCAAACCAAACAAAAAACCAGGCTGGGATAGAACAAGACGAGGAAAAATTAAAAACACAAGCTGGGCTGAGGCCACGAAAGCTCACACAAGTGAGCTTCAATTTGAGACAGAAACAGTAAAAGGAGTGGTTGGAAATGGTAACTGAGTGGCAAGGAGCAGGAGCAGAAGCCTTGCACTAAAAAGCAGTATTAGAGGGATGACGAGAAGACCAGGTCAGAAGAGGTGCTTCAGCTAGCAGCCAGTATGTGTTTCATCTGCAGGAAGCATTGAGGAATCGGCAGAGTTACTGAGAATTGTAAGAGAAGTTGCTGTTGGATTTGTTCAGCGTCATGATGGAGGAGAAGGAACGCCCACCCGGGCGCTGGGCCCACAGATGCAAAAAGGTAACGGAAAAACAACTTTGGACGACATCTGAATGGAACTTGAACTGCACACAAATCTTACGAGAAAACACAATAAAAGGCACCAAAATGCAAAGGAGGAATGAGGCTTGGAGAAGGAAAATGGCATAAACACACTGATGTGGCTCTACTGCGCTTGAGGCCAGTGCCAGCACCACAGACCTGGGCTCCCTGACTCCATTTCAGGCCCCTGTTCAAAAGGTCATACAGCCTTTGAATAGCATTGTCTTTTTGGGGGGAGATTTTCTACTTCTGTGCAGACTGTAACTCCTTACAGTCTCAAAAAGAAAAATAGTATTCTGATAGGACATTCATCTACCTCAAGAAAAACGACAGGCTGAGTAAAAAACAAACAAAACAAACCCAACCCCTTGACCTCCAAAATCCACACAATTACAAATTCATCTCCTACTGCAGAAGGCTGAGACAGTAAATCTTAATACACAATTTCCCTTTCTTTCACTTATCAAGTAAAACCGCTTTTTGGTCACTCAGAATTGCAACTCAGACACTTACAAATTTCTCTAGCAACAAAATAATGAAATATCTACTGACTACGTCTAGCGTAACAGAAGAGCCTTCCTCTAGCACCCATTGTTCTGCGTCAAGACGCTTTGGGTATTTCTCTCAATATTGGATTTTGGTAGTTCACTGCCATGGTTAAAACACCAAACCAAATTTTCCAGCATCACTAAAAGTAACTTATGCATTAGTTAGGTTAGAGAATACAACATAAAATGGCTAATCCTTTAAACATCTCCATTTTAAATCATAGATATTTTGGTAAGAAGGGATGAGATGGGAAAGAAAGACTGTACCAAAACTAAGAGAGCATGATTATTGGTCCTGTTACTGCCTACAAAAACTACGACTCTCAAATAGATCTGTTTTAGCGAGGGTGCCACTACAACCACACACCAGAGCTTTGCAGGCCAGCTGCAAGCCACACAGGTTTCCTGATACTTGGCATCACACCTCAGCAAGGATCCTTCCTAAACTTTTTCCCCGTACAACTGTGCCAGAGGGAAAGCAGAAATCATTGTTACCAGCCAACGCGGACTTTCTGGTTCACTCAAAGTGAACAAACTCTGCATGAAGAATGTAAATCAAAGCAGAAGGGAGGAAAGGAATTTACATGCATTAGTAATTTTAATTACAGCTCACCACATATTGCTGTGGCTTCTTTAACACAGTCCCTAAATTCACCAGCTGAGAAATGAATTCCTATCACCTACCACAGACAAGGGCCAGCACAGGGAGTACAGTGACAAGCAAATCATTTTTATGCCAACATCAACAAGTTTACTTACAAGGAATGATCCATGCGCGAATACCACTACCTGCAGTTCTTCAGTGCAAGGAAGGTAAATCTATTATGACATCCCAGTAAAACACAAGACTTCCATTCCACTTGACTTACTGGTCACAGTGCACTGGCTGAGGATGCCTTTGCAGACCTGATGAGACCTAATTAGTTACCATGGGATCATTCTGCAGCAGCACAGTCCCTTCTCTTTATAATCTCCATCTTATTAAAAGGGAAGGCAAATGAGAGAAGTGAATTATAAATCAATTTATTTTCAAAACTTTTAAGGTTATTCATCTGTTTAGGATAGCACCTTCTAGGTCCTGCATGAAAAGCCTCCATAAATCCAAACAGATTAACCAGATTGCTGAAGGAAAAAATATTTTGTCAGAAGTCAGACGGGATCTGACCAGCTTTAGGACAGTCTGAAAAAAAAACTTCTATTTTATCTGGTTTTATGATCCTTTGCATAGAACCACCACCCACATATGTTGCAGAGATTTTGGGTAAATGTGCAGTTAACGTGCTAGTTTGGAGCTCTGGGATTATCGTGGCTAATGAAACATTGTGTGTTTACCAGTAACTCTCTACTCCTTTTCAGGTTTTCAGATCTGTTGCCTGTATTCCCACTTAATTCACTGCATCTCTGAGAACAAGTGCAATCTAAGGGCAATGTCTACATTAGGGACTACAGGTCCACGCAGAGATCTCTGAAGCAGAAGCATCTCTGCCAGTTAAGCTACTTCTAGCCTGTGTGTCTCTAACATGGAACTGCACCGAGGAGTACAGATACACCCTGTGAAGAGGAAAGAACCTGCTTTCTGTCAAGTGCTCTTTCTTGTGCCCTGGGCAGTGTCGAGTGCTTTGCATGCAGACACTGTCTCTCCTCATACAAAGAATCCAGCTCCCCAGTCACACATAGTCTTTATAGGTTTACAGGAACAGACTTAGAGCGCACCACATCTCCAAGACGGAGCTCTGCCTAGGAAGATTCAGCTATCATTCAAACAAAGTCTTCTTCCACCACCAGAACAGCCTTATTTTTGCCTTACAGGAGGGTCTTCTGGGCCAAGACCACACAATCTTAACATCCCTTAGCAAAACATGCTCACAAGTGAAGGCCAGTGGTATTTTGCCTCTGCTGTGGTGTAGTTTAAACCAAGAAAGACCAACCTGGATCTAACCTCCCTTTTTTAGCAAAGTCAGTAAATCCAAACCTGCAAAAGACAAGAGTAACATTGCCTGAGCCTATCAGCACTGTTTGGCTTGTAGCCCTGGAGAGGGCACCTCCCATTCAAGGAAAAGAAATGAACTGCCCTTCATGGTCTTCCAAAATAATGCTCCAGAAGAAAACTGCTCTACAGCCCAGCTAGAACAAAAGCAGCAGAACTATGAGACAGTTTTACACGCTAGTAACACATCAAGTTTTTTCTTCATCTTACTATGCATCTGGTCATGTTGATCTGAATAACTTCTTGGTAATCCCTCAGTTAACATTTCAGTTTTTGCAGAGCCAGGTGAGCATTCCAATGAACCTCTATTTTGTGCACAGCGTAACAGGGAGAAGGTGAGACACAAGAACATGTGACAAATCTTAGCTGAACATACCTCAGAAAGAAAAAGCCACGACTCTTTAGTTCTGCTCTAGTAACTTTCGGCAAATGTTTACGCATCACAGAAGTCATTGAACTGAATTTCTTAAATCAGTCACCTTCTCCCAAGAAGCAGCTGGTATTACCCAGGCAGGTTTGAAAAGCTCTGTCTGCTCTGCTCTCAAATGAAAATTCACCAAAAAAAAGTGAGTGGGCAAGCTAATCTAGCTTAAATTCATGGAGTATTTATTCTTTCTGGCTGTCCCATCCCCCATCCCCATTCCGTCCTGTCGTCCCCCCACCCTGTCCCGTCGTCGTCCCCGTCCCCCTCCCCAGGTAAGAAGATCTATGTTTTCTAATCATGCCACATATAAACAGTCTATCAATGCCACTTATGCCTATTAAACCTTATTATCTGGGAAATGCTGAATTTGCCGATTAGAGATTTCTGGAGTGTAAAAAGCTCTGCAAATAACTTAGGAAAAGACTGATAAAGGAAACATAATGGGTTGTGCTTAGAGGGTTATCTTATTGACTGTGAACAAATTTGCTGTCTCAGTTTTTAAAAAGATCAGAGAGTAACTGCATTAAGTCTGCCAGACACAGGGATGAGGGGCTATTATTTTGTCTTTTGCAATCCTCTGCTCAAGCCTGGCTTTTCACAGTTCATCAGAGAAAAAGCTTTTGAAATACATAATCTGAGCAGACATCTGTAGCCTTAATGAGCGCGAGTCACAGTCCATCTCCAACAAAGACCCTACTGTAACAACACATTTAAATTCCAACTGGTTAAAGAGCAGAGCTGCAGCTTGGAAGGTTAAAGATGACAAAAATCCAATACGGACAGGCAGAGCCTCTGCACATTATTTCCTTTTTGTGCTACGAGTTCCTACGGCATCCAGCTAAATCTCCAAAAGCCCTTAAATTTTTCATCCTTGATGATTTTATGTGCCACTAAAACAAGTCTTACACAGATTTTGTGCACTGGACTTTCAGAATATTCTTTACTCTAAGTGAT